CAAACACACACAAGGACCTGTGTGTTTTGTTTTACACTAAGACCCTAGTGAGTCCTGGCCACCTAATCCATGTGGAATGAATGTCATTTGTACAAATGAGTAAGTGGGTGAAAGAATGGACTTTCATGAAACGAGAGAGACTGAACCATGCCAGCAACCCAGCTGAGCCCAGCCTCCAACCACCCCAGCCAGGTGCCAGCCATGTGCGAGAGCTGACCTGGATGTGCTTGCCTAGCTGAGTCTCCAGATGACTCGCAGCTGGCCACCATGAAAGAAAAGAATGGCCCGAATGAGCCCAGCCAACCCACAGAATCATAAGGGATAATAACATGGCTATTGTAAGCCACTACATTTTGAGGTGGTTTGTGACACAGGCACTGATACTGAAACCTTGACTTTTTGCAGTCTAGACTCTTCATTATCTGCTCCTCTGGTCTCTGACCTCTCCTCCCTACCCACCGTTCCTACCATGCTCCAGAGAGATATTGACATTTGGGGACATCTGACTCCATCCAGCTCTCACATGATATGGGAGGCAGAGCAGGACAGGCCCCGGAGAGGGAGAGGCAGATCCAGGATGTCCCTAGAAGGCTTCTGGAGAGGACCTCAAGGAAGGTGAAATGAGCAGTTTTCCACAGAATCCAAAATTCAATCAATACAGTTCCCACCTACTAACTACATGCTTCACACCAAGCTGTGGCAGGAGCTGGAGGTGCAGAGAGGGGTGAGGTACAGCTCCTTGCTCACCAGTGGTTCAGAAGCCAGTGGGAGAGACAGACGTGTGAATAGACATCTACCATGTGGCTTGATCCACAGATCACAGAAATATATTCAATATAGAAAGGAAGAGACTCTGGTCTCAAGGCGCTAGGGTAGAGATGTTTCCACCCCCACCTCCTCGCTGAAAAGCAGCCACGACAATAAGGAGAACAAGAAACAGAAACGCAAACTCCCACCTTCAAAGAAGCCAGGAGACACCTGTAACCCCAAACCACAATGTATGAGCAGCGAGAGCAGATGGAGGGTGGTAAATGATTGAACAGAGCTGAGGAAGGCAAACCTAAATGCCTGCTGCTGCATGGTGGGGTGGAGTAGGGGCTTTGGAGACAGAAAAGATGCAAATCACCTGTTCTTGCAGAACCCTGGGGAGGCTCAGAATTAGGGAACCCAGACATCATGGATGGTGAGGCAGGAGGCTGAAAACGGGGGGTTGTGTGGGAGTCTGCTTAGGAGGAGTGAGATCCCCCAGCACCACCCCAGATCTTCTCTTTTCCATTATGTGGTCAGGCATTCACCCCTCGCTAACCCCGGCAGGGAGAATTCAGCCAGAGTTCTCTGGACCCAGAGATATTCGCTACAGGGCAGAGTGGGGGTCAGGCATCAGACTGCTTTTGGAGATGCTGTCAATTCGATGATGCCTTGCAAACAATCACTCCTCCACTCCTACCCTCCCTACCCACCATTCCTACCACGTTCCAGAGAGATATTGACATGCCCTCCATGGGAAGGGCGCGTTTCCCCTCTCCCCTGATGCTGGGCTTGGCCATGTGACTTGTGGCCACTGGGATGACGACAACTGCGCCAGGAGAGACTTCGTGGGCTTGTCCCCGTGGACATGCTCTCTTATGCAGCCAAAAAAATTAACATGCCCTGGATGAGCCCACTGGTTCCCAGAGTAAAGGAGAAACACAGAACAGAGCTGCCTGCTTGACCTGCAGACCCGCAACTTCACACAGATCTGCCCAGTCGAGCCCAGTCTAGATCAGTTCATCCCAGCTGACCCGAACATGTGTGAAGAGAAGAAATACTTACTGTAGTGTGCCGTAGAGACTTTTGTGGTTGTTTGTTACACAGCACTATCTGACTGACACAAGGAGATTAAGTGAAAGTCTGGGGTCACTGAACATGGTGACCCCAGCCCCCTTCCCTGGCCCATTTCAGATGCGCCAGCACCCAGCCATACACTCACGCCAGGAATGAAATTGGAGGATCTGGTCACCCCAGAGAAAAGTCTTACAGATGCTGACTTTGGGGTGTCCTTGACTAAAGATCCAGCTGCCCCACAGAGATGCCCACCATTGTACAAGTACTGCTCTTGGGCTCCGGTCAGATTTTAATGCCTCAATTTTTTTTTTTTTTTTTTGAGACAGAGCTTCACTCTTGTTGCCCAGACTGGAGTGCAATGGTACGATCTCAGCTCACCGCAACCTCCACCTCCTGGGTTCAAGTGATTCTCCTGCCTCAGCCTTCTGAGCCCTGGGATTACAGGTATGCATTACCACGCCAGGCTAATTTTGTATTTTTAGTAAAGACAGGGTTTCTCCATGTTGGTCAGGCTGGGCTTGAACTCCCAACCTCAGGTGATCCGCCTGCCTTAGCCTCCCAAAGTGCTGGGGTTGCAGGCGTGAACCACCTTGCCCGGCCTTAATGCCTCACTCTGAAACAGGAGTGGCTAACACAGAATGACTGGTTGAAGAAGGCTCTAATGATAGCTATTGCCCCAAATGATAAATGAAAGACACCCAATCAAACAAGTAGAAGAAAATGAATATCAGCAAACAATAAAGATGATGCAGTGAGCAGAAGAAAACTTTGACAAAACCATCATTGCCATCCTTGAAGAGCTAAGGGAACGTACATCCACAAATGAGTACAGAAGGCCACAGCAAAGGAGGAGGCAGAAATCAGGCGAGAACTGGCTGGGCGTGGTGGCTCATTCCTGTAATCCCAGCACTTTGGGAGGCCGAGGTGGATGGATTGCTTGAGGCCAGGGGCTCGAGACTAGCCTGACCAACATGGTGAAACCCTGTCTCTACTAAAATCACAAAAATTAGTTGGGTGTGGTGGCATGTACCTGTAATCCCAGCTACTCAGGAGGCTGAGGCAGGAGAATCACTTGAACCCAGGAGGCGGAGGTTGCAGTGAGCTGAGATTGTGCCCCTGCACTCCAGCCTGGGTGACAGAGTGAGAGAGTGAGAGAGTGAGACTCTGTCTCAAAAAACACAAACAAACAAACAAAAAATAATAAAAAACAGGAGAGAGCTCTTGGAAATGAAAAATATGTTGATTTAAAAAAAGAGGGATTGGAAGATAAAAACAGATTTTTAAAAAACCTCCCAGGAAGTAGAACAAAATGATAAAGACGAGCAACAAGAAAAGTAAAGATTTCATCCAGGAGGCCCAATATTCAAATAATAGGAGTTACAGAAGGAAATAACAGAAAAATGTCTCAGAACTGAAGAACACCAATCTTCACATTAAAAGGCCACTTGATGCTCCAGATGACAAATGAAAAAAGACTCAAGCAAGTCTTGTTATAAAATTTTCAGAAATTTAAGGATAAGGCAAAGATCCTAGAAGATTCCAGAATAATAATAATAAAAAAAGTTAGCTTAAGTTACACACAGTGGATTGGGATTAAGAATTGTGCTAGAGGCCGGGCGCGGTGGCTCAAGCCTGTAATCCCAGCACTTTGGGAGGCCGAGACGGGCGGATCATGAGGTCAGGAGATCGAGACCATCCTGGTGAACACAGTGAAACCCCGTCTCTACTAAAAATACAAAAAATTAGCTGGGCATGATGGCAGGCGCCTGCAGTCCCAGCTACTCGGGAGGCTGAGGCAGGAGAATGGCGTGAACCCGGGAGGCGGAGCTTGCAGTGAGCCGAGATCGCGCCACTGCACTCCAGCCTGGGCGACAGAGCCAGACTCTGTCTCAAAAAAAAAGAATTGTGCTGGAAGCGCTAGAGACACCCACAGATGCCTTCTGTCAGTTGAGTCAGAGTCATTCTCAATCTCAAATTCTATACCTAGCCTATCTATCAACAAGTGTGAGAGGGGAATTCACTATTTTGAAACATGCACACTTTCTCTGAAAGTTACTAGGAGCTATGCTCTATTAAAATGAGAGAGGAGGCCAGGCGCGGTGGCTCACATCTGTAATCTCAGCACTTTGGAAGGCTGAGGCAGGTGGATCACTTGAGCCCAGGAGTTCAAGACCAGCCTTGGCAACATGGCAAAACCCCATCTCTACTGAAAATACAAAAATTATCTGGGCATGGTGGCATGCACCTGTAGTCCCAGCTACTCAGGAAGCTGAGGTGAGAAGATCACCTGGGCCTGGTAGGCAGAGGTTGCAGCGAGCTGAGATTGCACCACTGCACTCCAGCTTGGGTGACAGAGCAAGACCCTGTCTCAAAAACAAAACAAAACAAAAAAACCAACCCCCCAAGTCCCCCACAAAATGAGAGAGTAAAACATCAAGAAGGAGGACATGGAATCTAAGAAACTGGATTCATACAGGAAAAAGCTGAAGGCAATCCCCAAACAATAATGGAGAGAGAATCTCGGGATGTCAGCTGCACACGGGCCCAAGGGCAGCTGGCCCAGATAAGAGGAGCTCAGTAGTCTCCAGGACAAAATCGTCCCTGAGGCTGGACTCTGGAAACTCCACTGTGTGGTTTTTACGAAGCTATAGGAACGTGTGGAAATGCTTAGTGCAGGAAATTGAAGATATTTTTAAAAACCAAAAAATGAAGCAAATGAAAAACACGAAGCAAATGAAAAAAACGAAGCAATTATGAACTCCTGGCTGAGCAGGAAATAATATTTACATTGCATTAATCATGGGAACACTGGATATGCATTTAACAGAAACTCGACAAGATGGGGAGAAGGGGTGAGAGTGTGTAAGAAATGTAAACTTCTCCTCTACTATAAGAGCAGTCAGTAGATAACGGGTAAAATTGAGGGATTAAGACATTAAAAAATCAATATTATATTTAGCAAGAAAGAGTTTAACCGAGGGAGCAATTGCTGAGTGGGTGGGATTACCTCTGGGATGGGAGGGGCGGGAGGGACGCGGGACGACTGCTGTTTTTTGCTGTTATAAACCTTTTCAGCACTACAGTAGTCCACTTTGTGGAGTTTCAGTTACCTTCGGGCAACCACAGTCCAAAAATACTAATAGCTTTTGAAAGAAAAAAACAGAGAAAGAGAGAGATCACCATCACATAACTTCTGTTAGAGTATATTGTTATAATTGTTCTATTGTATAGTGTATGATTAATTATTGCTGTTCATCTCTTAACTGTGCCTAATTTATAAATTAAACATTATCTTTCTCCACCATCGTGGTGTGTGGTTGACTCCGCTTCTCGCCACAGCTTCTCACAAGACTCTCAGGATCAAGTCATTCCTGCGCAAGGAACAAAAGCAAAAAGGACCCATTTCCCCAGTGGATTTGTATGAAAACTGGCAATAACATCAGGTACAGCTCCAAAAGGAGGTATTGGAAAGAACCAAGCTGGGTCTATAAGGAACTAAGCGTGAGATGCTACACATATTTACGTTGTATCAAGGTCATGATCATCTTACCATCGCAAGCTGAAAATGTCACCACTGTCTGGACAGCTGGACATGTTTGATTGGGAAGGTACTTTTTCTCTTTGTTTATATGCTCTGCACTAGTAGGCTGGGTTCAGTAATACATAGGTGAGAACTTTTATTTTAAAAAAAAAATTATCAGCCTGTAATCCCAGCTACTCGGGAGGCTGAGGCAAGAGAATCGCTTGAACCTGGGAGGCGGAGGTTGCAGTGAACCAAGATGGCGCCACTGCACTCCAGCCTGGATGACAGTGCGAGACTCTGTCTCAAAAAAAAGAAAAAATTATCAGGCTGGGCAGGGTGGCTCATGCCTATAATACCAGTACTTTGAGAACCTGAGGTGGGAGGATCGCTTGAGGCCTGGAGTTTGAGGCCAGCTTGGCCAACATAGTGAGACCCTGTTTCTATTTTTAAAAATTATCATAGGTATGTAAAACATCATACAGGAAAAAATAATAGCATACATATGCAGGTTCACTACTATCCATGGTTTCAGGCATCCGCTTCATGTATTGGGATGTATGTCCCAAGGTATTATAAGGGGCGTAAAGGGGGGACTATTCTACTGGTTTCTAAATTTACTTGCAAACAGTACTTTGATGAAATAAAAGCACATTTTATTTGCTTTTATTTCAAGGAATCTTGAAGAAGGGAGTGTCCGAGAAGGGGAGGGCTCTGGAGAAGGCTGCCAGAGCAGGGGATGCCTAACCATGCTGAAGTTCGTGAAGAGGGGGACCCGGAGTGGACTGCTAGGGACTCGCGACACCAGTGAGGTTCAGATGGAGGCCCTGGTGCTTTAGAACGAGGAGAGGGCCAAGTGGCAGGAGCGCAGGCTGAGGCTCGTTACACGGGGCCCCTAGGCCGCGGTAGGGACTGTGGATTTTACTTGACAAAAAGAGCAGGTGGCCATGGGAAGGTCTCAAAGAGGCAGCTGGGATGACTTATGTTTGTAATGGACTCACTCTCTCTGCTGAGTAGGGGGCGAGGGTGGAAGCAGGGGAGTGCAAGGCGACGGTGGGGTGGAGGAGGAAAAACCCTTCTTTACTGTCTTAGTGTCTCTGGCTGGGCTGAAGAATTAAACGGACATAAGGCAGATCAGCAGGAGAAAAACATACAGATTTCATTTGCATGTATGAGGGAGCCCCCTCCACCCCCCGCCCAAATGACCAAGACCCAAAGAAGTGACTAGACATAAGGGCTTTTGTGTCAGGTTGAACAAAGAATGGCGATTGTGTAACTGGGAAGATAAGGGTTAAACGATTTGTTCTTACGGTTTTCTTTTGGCCTCGACTCTCCTTATCCGGTAATAAGAATGTCTTTCTTCCTCCTAGCATAGGGAGGGCGTCTTTCACAGGGCATTTTCGCTCCTGCTTTCAGGAAGAAAAGGGGAGGTCAGAGCACCCTTTCTGCACCTGCTGTTTCTGAAGTGCCTTTAGTTCAAAGAAATCAATGTGGCCGGGCGCGGTGGCTCAAGCCTGTAATCCCAGCACTTTGGGAGGCCGAGACGGGCGGATCACTAGGTCAGGAGATCGAGACCATCCTGGCGAACACGGTGAAACCCCGTCTCTACTAAAAAATACAAAAAACTAGCCGGGCGAGGCGGCGGGCGCCTGTAGTCCCAGCTACTCGGGAGGCTGAGGCAGGAGAATGGCGTAAACCCGGGGGGCGGAGCTTGCAGTGAGCTGAGATCCGGCCACTGCACTCCAGCCCGGGCGACAGAGCCAGACTCCGTCTCAAAAAAAAAAAAAAAAAAAAAAAAAAAAAAGAAATCAATGTGTCAGAGTGGCATATTCTGGGGTGGTGTGTCCTGAACCCCTTCACTGGCCTGGCCCAGAAGGGAGCCTGTGGATGGAGAGCAGTGGAGGGGTTCTGGGCAGGAGCAGCAAGGCTCGGAGCTGGGGAGGTGTGTGACTGGGGGCACGCTGACAAACATTTACTCCTTTAACCTTCACAAGAACCCCCGGGCCGGGCAGTCAGGGGTGTACACTCTACTGAAGGAGAAAACTGAAGTTCAAGTTCACTGCATGGCAGGGGCAGAGCTGGGGCTCAAACTCCCCTGTCCAGTCTTCAGCCCCTGTACCCCAACCTGCAGGAATAAGTGAATGGATACATGAGGCTGGCTGCGCCTAGGACACAGAGGGGCGAGGGAAATCCGCAGAGGAGGAGGCCCACGCAGGCGGCAGACTCAAAGCTGCAGTGCCAGGTGGGCTGCCGGGGGAGAGCTTTTATTCTGAGGGCAGGGAGAAGCCATGGGTAGGGAAGGGTGGTCAGTGCCATGGAAAACCCACCCTTGACCCTGAGGACACGCTCCCAGGAGCCCACCCACACCTCATGAACTTGTACAGACCAAGACAATGGGAGGCTGAGACCTGGAGGAAGGGCCTTGCCCCGGGCACGTGGCAAACGGAGGGGCAGCGTTAAGAGACCAGGCCAGCTCCGGGTGGAAGCGGGTGTGTCCTACTGTGTGCTGCCACACGCACGGTGGCACCTCTGGACGAATTCAGCTTCCAGTTCTCTGCAGCCCCAGGTACCTAGTGACAAAGGAGATCCAGCCCTGGTCCCAAGGAATGGCCCAGTTTGGAAAGCATCCTAGGTGGTGCCTGGCACATAGTAGGTGCTCAGCCAAGACGCGTGTCCTTCTCCCTCCCGTCTCTGACTGTTCCTTTCCTTATCACTCCTGTGCTGAGGCAGGAATCAGCACAGGCTGGGGCATGGCATCCCAAGACAGCTGGGCCTGTGCTCAGGACCACAGGGCAGAGTCTCTTAGACCAGAGATCAGTAAATGTGGCCCATGGGGCACATCCCACACACTGCCTGTTTTTGTGCAGCCGACGAGCCGAGAATGGTTTTTACGGATGACCATTTGCAATCAGTTTGATGAAACACTAACTCTAAACTCCAATTAAGCAAACTATGTTGCCTCTAAAAAGAACTCTATTCTTCTCATTAGTGGACCTGCATTACAAAACACTGGCCTGAATTATTATTATTCTATTTTGAGTTTTGTCAGTTAGAAAATAGTGAAAATCTGTTTTCTCCCAGCACAATGATTTTGCCCTCAAAGCCTGAAATATTGGTTCTCTACTCTGTCCTTCTACGCACCCTGCCTGGGGCTCTCCAGATTTAACCAATCCCAGGGCTAATGACCCCCACCCGGCCTCCCCGGTGGCCGGTGCTGGCTGCGGCTGGTATGCCCGACTGCAGGGCTGGACTGTGGACTCTCGGGCTGGTCAGCCTCACACCCAGCCTTGCCTTGGGACACAGCTGTAGCCCCGTGGGACCTGTGCCGCAGTGGCCTCGGGGAGCTGCTCTGGCTACTGGCTGGCAGCCTCAGCTCCCCTGAGCACTGAGCACATTCTTTTCTCCAACTCCCTGCGGGAGCCAAGGCCAGCGGGCGTGGGTGGCTGAAATCTCCTCGGTAACAGGGTCTGCCCCCCTCCTGCTCCCTCGCTGGGCCTCCTCCCTTAACCTGCCCCCCACCCCCCACACCTGCTCTCTGGCCCTCGGCCCCTCCCTGCTTGCTCCCTCCTTTCGCGGGCTCCATGTCACCATCTGTGGCACAGTCCCTCTCTGTCACTCTCCCTGCCAACCCCTCGTTCTCCTTCCTCCCTCCTCCTCTCTATCCTGCCTCTCTCTGCATCTCTCCCTCTCACCCGTGTCTCCTCTCCTCTCTTTCCTCTTCGTCTTCTCCCTGTCACGCATCTTTCATCACTCCCCCTCATTCTGCCTTTCCTCCTACTCACGGTCTCCTCTCCCTCTCTCTCTCTCTCCCCCTCCCTCTTTCTCTCTCTCTCTCTCTCTCTCCACCTCCTCCCGACCCCCTTTCCCCTCTATTTCTATTGGTTTGTGCGTCCCTCGTTCCCCTTTTCTCTTCTTCACCCTGGGAAGCTTCTCCCCCTCTATCCTTGCCCCTGCCCCCCCAGGATGTGTCCTGGAGATGGGGGGTGACATACCAGGCGCTGGTTGGGAAGTCAGGGCCGGAGACCAGATGGGAGAGGCTCTGTGGACAGCCGTGGCCGAGGGCCTGGGAGGGGACCTGAGCCCGCAAGCAGTCTAGAAGTGGGTGCCGCGTGGGGACCCCAGTTAGGAGTGCCCTCCTAACCAATCCCAGGGCTAATGACCCTGGGGACTGGGCAGGGAGAGGGGACAGCAGAATGATAACCAGCCTGGTGACAAGGAGGGAAGCCCTCACCCTATGGGCAGGTAAGGAGGCTGGGGCCCGGATGATGTCCCGAAGGGTGGGGTCCCGGAAGCCCATCCTCTGCCCAGGATGAACTTGGGAGGCTGGGGCTGGGGAGGCAGAGGGTGGGGAGTCCCAGGGAGGCAGGAGGGAGGCCTTCCTGTGACCTCCCGGTCAGCTGCAGGGGCAGGGGCATTAGTCTCAGAATCTTGTGCCATGATTCCAGGATCTCGGAATCACAGAATCGCAGGCTGTCAGGGCTGGAGGGAGCCAGATGCGTCATGTCGTTGGCTTTCCCAGCTCACGTGGCAGCTCTCCTGAGCTCCCCCTCCATACCCGGCACTGTGCTTGGCACGCCTCCATTTAATCTCTGCAAACAACCCTGGGAAGTGGGTCCGCTTGTCTTCCATATGATGAAACTGAGGTCCAGGGGGATAAGTGACTTGCCCGAAGTCATACGACGAAACTGAGGTGCAGGGGGGAGAAGTGACTTGCCCGAGGTCACACAGCAATTTGGCGTCATTGCTGTGCAACAGAGCCCAAGCCCCCAACCCTAGGCCTGTGGGGTGTGCTCCTGGGATAAGGCCCCAGGCCTGGGGTGCGAGTGAGTCAGTTGGCGCTGACAAACATAAGCCAGGTCTCTTTGGGGAGAAGGCCCAAGGGTGTAGAGGACAATCAGAAAGCCAGGAGCCATCGCCCTGCACTCTTCAGGACTGTCATGGCCTTTGATTCTTCTCAGCCTGAGGCCTTCAGAGGAGCCAAGTGGGGCCAGGAGGTACTGATGGTTTAGAAGTAGACAGAACTGAGTTCGAATTCTGGCTTCCCACTCTCCAGCTGGGTGACCCTGTGCAGCTTACTTAACCTCTCTGAGCCTCAACTTCTTCCTCTCTAAAAACTCTCCCTCTTGGGCTTCTTGAGGATCTCGTGATGTGAGTCTGAGGCTTCCATCTGGGGACAGTGTCCCACCTTGGAGCTCTCCTTGCTGAACTGCTTGGCTGTTCACATTTATGGCTGGGTGATGTCCTAGGTTCTGGGGTTAAGAAATCAATCAATCAGGGCCCCTGCATTCAAGAGCCAGTGTTCTAGCAAGTGAGAGATGGGCAAATGGAGAATGATTGGGGTGCCTGGCCTCCCTGAATTATTAGGGCTGTGGGGCTCAAGGCAGCCACTCACCCTCTCTGTGCTGTCTCCTCCTGAACAGTCCTCCGAGGAGTCCGCCCCCAGCTTTCAGGCAAGCTTGTGCCAAAGATAAACCAGACAGGGAGGAAAAGTCCCTCCTTCCCAAGGATGAACTAGATCATGCACAGGATTCCAGCTCTTTAAAGAAAAGACGGCACCTCAATTGCAGGTCTGGCTTACGTGCTTGGAAAGCTGTAATTTCCCTGCTTCTGCTCCCTGGGCACCTCAAACTTTGACAGGGACGACCGGCTGAGATAAAGGTGGAGACAGGGTTTTCCAGGAGGGGGCCAGGGGTTCTGGGAGGGGCGACTGCATTCCCTGGTACAAAGGAGGGTCTGGCTAGGCGTGCCGCGTTCCTGTCAGGACCATGTGTGTGTCAGCGCATGCGCTTGTGGGTGCACAGATGTGTGCTGGGCAGGCGTGGGGGTGGGACAACCTCAGAGCTTACCCCCAGTGGGCTACCCCAGGGGCATCTGTCCCTGAAGCCTGGAAATTAGGCCTGCCCAGCTCCTTGCTTCTCTCGCGAGCCTGGTGCTCCCCTCCCTGGCTTGTGATTGGCTGACCAGCAGGGATGCTATAAAGAGGATCTGTGCACATCACAGGGCAGCAAGGTAGATGGTGACGCGGGTCCCCTGCCAAGGAGGCAGGGCTCTAAGGTTCCAGGTTCCACAATTCCAGGTCTAAGATGGACTCATTCTAGCATTCTGAAATTCTAACATTCTTTGATTCAAGGATACTGAGTCTAAAATCCTATGGCTGTAAGATTCTCTGACTGTTCTAAGAATTCCAAATTCTATTTTAAGATCTCTAAGGTCCATTAGGCTTTGAGTCCATGATCCTCATAGCTCAAAGCCCTGGGGGCAACTGGGAAAGCGGGGTACCAGCTGGGCACTCAGGTGGGTGCCTTCCCAGGCCTGGCTTCAGTTTGCCAGCCTGTGGAATGGGCGTAGAGGTCGTCACTACAAATTTTTCTAGATTTGCCACTTCCTAGCTGTGACCAGAACATGTGACCTCACGTTTGCTCCCCATCTGTGCAGTGAGGATGACAGTAGTGCCTCCCTCATGGGACACCATAGGATACTGCAGTTCACCGGCTTAGCCTGGCACCTGGCACAGTCAGGGCTCAGTGATGAGCAGCTGGCAGCACTGTTAGGATCCTCTAGCCCACTGTCTAGGTGCCCCTCCCTTAGTGCTGCTGTTCCAGGCCCAGGAGACCTGATGAGGGGTTGGGGAGAAGGATGGGTTGAGGACAGGTTGGGGGATGACCCAGGCTCAGAATCCTTCTCTTCTCCCAGCCCCAGGAACAGGGAGGAGATGCTCTGAGCCCAGCCAGCTTGGGATGCTTTTGGAGAAGCCATGGCCTAGGGGTTCCCTGCTACCCTTGACTTCACCCAGCCTGGCACTGTAAGCCCGCTGCAGCCCCAGGTCCTTGGGGCAAGGGTAGCCAGGCGTGCTCAGAGGTGTTTGTTTGGATTTGGGGTGCCTTTCCTTCCCAGAAGCTTTGCACCTCAACAGTGACGTCCGTATAGGGCAGTGCGGACCACAGCTCCCAGTGGAGGGAGGAACTGCAGGCCCAGTGTCAGGGATATTAGAAGAAGAGCTTCTCCTCTGAGAGATTTCTCTTCCCTTCAGGGTTTTCTGCAGGGAGAATCTGAGGACAGCCAGGAGCCAGGGGATTGAGGGATAATTAGGAAGAATGGGTGCAGTGGGTGGTCCAGGCCCCAGAGGAGGCTCCTGCTTCCAGCCTGGCCCTGCCTGGGCCGCCTCCTGAGCGTGGCTTTCCGCAGTGGGGTCGGACATTCCCCCTTGGCATTGGAATTGGTCCACTCCAGGCTTCCTGGTTCATTTGATGCCTGACACTGAGGCAGAGCTTGTGCCTGTGGGAAAGTGACAGGGCGGAAAGCAGTGGGGAGGGTCCAAAGCTGGCTGGAGACTCCACATGGGAGGGGATCAGAGTCTTGCAGGGGAGCCCGGAGGAGCCCCGGCTTCTTACACGCAGGCATGGGATGAGAAAGACACTAAGAGAGCACGTGGAGTGCAGTGGGGGCTCTTGCTTGTGCTGCAAATCCCTTCTGAAAATGTTCCCCTCTCCAGGCAGCTGGCCCCTCCAGCCAGGGGGCGGGGCTGCTCTTGGATACCATCTACTAAGTGAATTGTAAAGTTCTCTAACCCCAGCCGGCCGCTGAGGAGAAGGGGTCTCAACCACCTGCCCCCCAGGTTCATAGCCAACCTTCCTGGGCAGGGCCTTTGGGAGGGGCATAGTGGGATGGCCCAGGCTGATGGGGGGCGCTAAGGACTCTGACTCCCAAGGGAGGGGACACCCCAAGCCTGTGGTTCTTAACTCCATTTGGAACCTGAAGAATCTGATATTAACCTTCACCTGGAGTTTCGGGCGTTCATGGATCCTCTGAAGTTCAGGTAGGGAGCGGGTTTCCAGGTGAAGGTCCTGTGATATGAAGCAGTGTTTTTCAGATGTCAGGACGAGACCTGTTGGTCTCGCCAGCAATGCAACCCACTTCACAGGGGCCTGCCAGCTGGGGCCTCACATGTAGAAAGGAAGGGCAGGTATTGGTTGATGAAACAGTATGACTTCATGCCGCACACCACACCCTCTCCCCACGATGAAGAATGATCACCTCACCTCCCCAAGCCTCAGTTTCCTCATCTGAGAAAAGGGGATAACATGACTCAGCCTTGTGGCACTGTGCAGGGTGAATGAGATGGTGCACTTCCCATCCTCTGAAATCTCTCAGACGATGGGAGGATGGGCATGCAGCAGGTCCCCAGGTTCAGCGTGATGGGAGAGGGCAGCACAGAGAAAGCCATTCTCTGCCGTGACCGAGCTGTTTTTCCTTCCCCCAGGCAAATAGCTGACTGCTGAGCAACCTCCCCTCAGCCATGGACACGCTTCCTCCATCATCATCGGTGTCCACGACCTCAGAACCCGAGAATGCCTCCTTGGCCTGGCCCCCAGATGCCACCCTGGGCAATGTGTCAGCGGCCCCAAGCCCAGCAGGGCTGGCTGTCAGTGGCGTTCTGATCCCCCTGGTCTACCTGGTGGTGTGCGTGGTGGGCCTGCTGGGTAACTCTCTGGTCATCTATGTGGTCCTGCGGCACACGGCCAGCCCTTCAGTCACCAACGTCTACATCCTCAACCTGGCACTGGCTGACGAGCTCTTCATGCTGGGCCTGCCCTTCCTGGCCGCCCAGAACGCCCTGTCCTACTGGCCCTTCGGCTCCCTCATGTGCCGCCTGGTCATGGCAGTGGATGGCATCAACCAGTTCACCAGCATCTTCTGCCTGACCGTCATGAGCGTGGACCGCTACCTGGCCGTGGTACATCCCACCCGCTCGGCCCGCTGGCGCACGGCTCCGGTGGCCCGCATGGTCAGCGCGGCCGTGTGGGTGGCCTCAGCCGTGGTGGTGCTGCCCGTGGTGGTCTTCTCAGGAGTGCCCCGCGGCATGAGCACCTGCCACATGCAGTGGCCCGAGCCGGCAGCAGCCTGGCGAGCTGGCTTCATCATCTACACGGCTGCACTGGGCTTCTTCGGACCGCTGCTGGTCATCTGCCTCTGCTACCTACTCATCGTGGTGAAGGTGCGCTCAGCCGGGCGCCGGGTGTGGGCGCCCTCGTGCCAGCGGCGACGCTCTGAGCGCAGGGTCACGCGCATGGTGGTGGCCGTGGTGGCGCTCTTCGTGCTCTGCTGGATGCCCTTCTACGTGCTCAACATCGTCAACGTGGTGTGCCCACTGCCCGAGGAGCCTGCCTTCTTCGGGCTCTACTTCCTGGTGGTGGCACTGCCCTACGCCAACAGCTGTGCCAACCCCATCCTTTATGGCTTCCTCTCCTACCGCTTCAAGCAGGGCTTCCGCAGGGTCCTGCTGCGGCCCTCCCGCCGCGTGTGCAGCCAGGAGCCCACTGTGGGGCCCCCGGAGAAGACTGAGGAAGAGGATGAGGAGGAGGAGGATGGGGAGGAGAGCAGGGAGGGGGGCAAGAAGAAGGAGATGAACGGCCGGGTCAGCCAGATCACACAGCCTGGCACCAGTGGACAGCAGCGGCCACCCAGCAGAGTGGCCAGCAAGGAGCAGCAGCTCCTACCCCAAGAGGCCTCCACTGGGGAGAAGTCCAGCACCATGCGCATCAGCTACCTGTAGGGGCCTGGGGAAAGCTGGGGTGGCCCGAGGAAGGGGCAGAAGCCGTGGGTGTGCCTAGGGTGTACTTCCCAAGGTGCCACAGGCCCATGATAGGATGTTGAAGGGCCTGGGCTTTGATGCTGTTGCTGCCAGGACTTGCTGTGTGACCTCGGGTAGGTTGCTTCCAGTCTCTGGGACTTGTTTTCTCCTCTGTGACTCAGGGATAGGAGTCATCAGCCTGGATGATCTATGTCAGATGAGAGGTTTGGAGGGCACTACTGCTGGGCTGACCTTGCTGAGCGAGCAAAAGGTGGGTGCAGACTGGCCTCCCCCCAGGGCTGGAGTGTGTGGGGGCATCAACCTGAATCTTGACCCTCAGAGGGACAAACCAAGGCCAGGATTTCTTGGGCTCAGAGTCAGGGACACAGGAACTGCTGGGGGCTGGGCTGGAAACCTAAACAGAAGAAAGCCTAACCTGGTGGGAGGTGTGGCGCAGAAATGATCAGGCCCCAGATCAGCTCCCTCCTCTCGACTGTGAGGCCTTGGACCAGCTCTGCTCCTCTCTAGGCCTCAGGCTTCACCCGGGGAAACCCCAACAACCTCCATGCCCTTCTGGCCCAGGCAGTCAATGCTGGAGGTCCTGTGCTCCTGGGCGCGGAGAGAACAGGTGAATTTCCCAGGAAGCGAGTGAGGGCCAGCTTCAGGGTCTCTCACTGCCTGGGCTCTTTCAAGGCCCTGCATCTACTTTTGTACTTGTCATTTTGTATTCGTTTTCTTAAAGAGGGACCTCAAACTGCATAAGCTTAGGCCACCCAAAGCCTGGCTCCACCCCTGCTGAGGTCAGCCACTGAATCCCCAAGGAAGCTCACGTTGGGTCTTGTGGCTGGAGTAGGGGCTCCCAGGGGTTCCCAGGTCTTTGAGGGCTTCCAGGCACCTCCTCGTAGGAGAGGCCATTCCTGTTTCTCTCCTTGTGACCCATATTCTCCCCTCCTGGAGACTGAGGCAGAGACCCAGCCCATGGGGACTGGCATGGAAAGGCACAGTGTCTGCTGAAGAATGCTGAGAGGAGAAGGAAGAGGAAGGGAGAAGAGGAAGAGGAAGAAGAAGGAAGAGGAAGACAAGGGGGAAAGGGGAGGATGAGTGGGGGAAGGAGAAGCACAGATCTGTTTCCTGGAGCCGTCTTTGGCCTCCCTGGGCTGAGCTCAGTGGTAGCATCTGTGAACCTGAGTTGCCGACAACAGCCCCACCCAACCAGTACTGAGGGAAGGACACGATCAGGGTGGAACAGTCAGGGTGCAATGGCAAATGCACAGAGTACAGACGGGCACAGGGCCTGCCTCCCTGAGGGGCCTGAGAGTGCTGCCAAGAAGGGCTCAGGTCTTAATAAAGCCCTAGGGTGAAGCTGGCTACCAGGGACATCGGGAGGACCGGGGAGCCCCTGGTGGGTGGGGAGCAGGCCTCCCCATGCTCTACCATCCTGGAGACTACAGGTCGAGAGGCCCAGGAAAGACAAGAAGAGGTTGAAGTGGGACTGTGGAGGGGGGACCACGGGGAGCAGCCACTATCCAAGGCTGGGCCTAGACTCTGTCCCAGAGATGGTCCCTCAGAGCTGTGGTGAGGCTGGCCCTGGGAGGGTGGGACCCCCGGTGAAATCCCTCCACTTCCCCACCCCTTGCAGAGGGCAGGGGTCCTCAGGGAAAGCACAGGAACCAGATTTTGGAGACTTGGATCTTCAGCACACCTCAGGGTCCTGGGCTGGCATGGGCCTTCTGGGCCTCAATTTCCCCATCAACAAATGGAGATGAATCACAGCTTAGCTGCCTCCTGGGATCTAACAAGAAAATGAGTCATGTGAGGTAACTTCGAGGCTCACTGCAACGGGTAGGGTGGGGTGTATCAGATTATAAAGTGGGAGTACCCTCCTCACCCCCAGGCTTGGCCTATACCCCCCTCTCCTTCATCAAGTGGCCGGTCTGTGTCTGTCCTTTGGGGTGGTGACACTGTAGGCCATGAGAAATGGGCAGTCTGGGGGTCAGAGGCCAAGGGTCAGGGAGGCAGGACTTGGGGAGAGAGTGAGACCCTCAGAGGAGAAGGAAGTTTATAAAACCACATTTTGTGTGGAGATGGAGGCTGGAGGCCCAGCCCTGGGACTTGGTCTGGGGTTCCTTGAGGAAGATCTGAGGGTCTGAGAGAGGAAGGATGCCCTGGCCTTCTGGCCTTCTCTGGCTGATCCTGCCTTCTTGCTGCCTAAGACAGGAGAGCAATGTCCTCGAAGGTTCCCCGGGAGGCCAGTTAGGAAACCCTTTGCTGCTTCTGTCTCTAGCTCTTGTCAATAAAGATGGTGACATCTGATAACAGCTGTGGCCTGGGCCAATTTATCTGCCAGACACTGTGTCCAGATGGGTGTGAATGTGCAGGTGTGTGTGGGCTCCGTGCACCCTGGCCTCTTCAGGCGAGACATCCCAGAGTCCAGGTCCTTCAGGGAACGTGGAAGGTACCCTTGATGGGGCTGAGCCCACATCCTTATAGACCTTGATCCAAAAGCAGTAGATGTCCTTTTTCCCTATTATCCAAATATTAGATTTCAGGGAAGAAAGTGGATTGGCTCCAACTAGGTCACATGATGGTCCCTTGGGCCAATCACCAAAGCCATGGTGATAGGGTGCCATGGTTGGCCGGGTGCAGGTCATGTGCCCATATTTCCAGCCAGAGAGAAGGTAGGGCACTGTGATGGACAATCTGGCCTGGCCCATGGGGCAGAGGTGGGTCAGGGACAGCCTACTAATGGCTAGGGGAGGTGGGCCAGGCACCAACAACCAACAGCACGCGGGTCTGGGTGTGTGCGGGGTTTGCTGTGTGTGACTGCCTTTGCTGGGTGTGATATTGTGTGTCCAGGTTTGTGTGAGCCCAGTGCAGGGTGCATAGTAGGTGGTCAGGACATCTTAGCTGTGTCCATGAGTGAATGTGCACTGGGGTGTGACATGCGGCCGGTGTGTAAGTAGTGGGAGCAGAGGAACTGCTGGGGCGCCAGTGTTGGGTGGGAGTGGCTGCCTGGGCAGGGTCCCTCGTCTGGTCCTGGCAGCCCTCGCTTCCCCACCACACTGGCTGTCCCCACCTGTGCATGCTCACGTGCAGTCTGTGTGTACGTGTGCTTGTCCCCCACACACGTGTGTCTGGCAGCCTTGTGTTCCCAGGGCCTGGCAGTGCTACCGTGGCCTTTCTTAGGAGTATCTGGAATGAATGAACAAAGGGGGCCACTGCATGTCACAACTCCAGGGGGGACTGTACATGCTGTGCCTCTAAATTCCTGTGAAGCTACAGCATGGTGCCTCTGAATACATGAGTGATAAGGGATGGGGCTACTGAAGGAGCTTGTATAGGGTTTGGGGCTAGAATTTGTGGGCTAGGGGAGCCACTGGGGCTGTAGGGTGAGGGGAGGCTCTGCAGCTGTGAGCTGGAGCAGGGAGGCAGGAGTGATGATAACTCACCTTGCCCACTCCTCTCCTCCTCCTCCAGCCATTGAAGTTGCTCAGACCCGAGGCTTTACCTTGAACTTGTCTCTCAGAGGCGGTTGCCAGGCAACAGCCCTTGGCCACCAGGCTCTGGACCAGGACTTCCTGCGTCAGCATCAACATTATCAGAGGGGAGATGGGAACCCGCAAGGCCTGGGGCAGGAAAGACCACGGCCTCCAGATCTTTGGGATCCTCTTTACCTAGAAGGGGTGGGACAGGTGGAGGCCACGGACCCGTGGGAGTTGACAGCCTGGACTCCACAGGACTCGACACAGAAGAAAACACAGTGAGAGGTTGGGCGAAGTGGCTCACGCCTATAATCCCAGCACTTTGGGAGGCTGAGGTGGGTGGATTGCTTGAGCTCAGGAGTTCGAGATCAGCCTGGGCAACAACATGGTGAAATTCCGTCTCTACCAAAAATACAAAAATTAGCCAGGCATGGTGGTGCATGCCTGTGGTTCCAACTACTTGGGAGGCCGAGGTGGGAGGATCGCTTGAGCCTGGGAGGCAGAGGTTGCAGTGAGCCGAGATTGTGCCACTGCACTCCAGCCTGGATGACAGAGGGAGACCCTATCTCAAACAAAAACCAAAAACCAAAACCAAAACAAAAAACCACCCCAAACAAACAAACAAAAAAAACAAACAAAAACATCCAAAACCAAAAACCAAAAAACATGGCAAGAAGGCCAGGCTGTAGTGTGAGGGGCACCCCCGGAGCTGTGCAAGGCCACCATCCCGCCAAGGCCTCAGGGCACTCCCTGTCTCTGGCAGGCCCTTGTGAGCATCTCAGCGACTCCCCGGGAAGGCTGAGGGAGAAATGTCTCCCTGAAAGTCATGGGGCCAAAGTCAGCACGCCTGGGTCCCAGGCCTCCCGCAGCAAACCTACTGTGCGGTCTTGGGCCATTTATTTCACCTCTGGATGTAGTTCACTTAGCTAACAAAGGCTTTTCTGAGCACCAGCTATACGCAAGGCCCTGACATGCAGCCGGGGGCTGGTGCAGGCAAATGGACATGGGTCCTGCCCTCTCAGCACCCATAGACAAGCACACAAGAAGTGCAGCCCTATTTTGGGGGCTCAGTGGGGAGGGAGAAGTGCAGCATGCTCTGAGGGTTGGGGGCTGATGGGGGCTGCATCTAGAGTGGAAGTTGCAGCCTCAGTGTGCCAGGCAGAGGTATCGGCATGTGCTAAGGTCCTGAGCTAGGGAGAGGCAGTGAGTGAAAGAAAGGTGGCGAACAGTCCCCGTTTGAGGGACAGAGGCTGTGTCACACAGGGCTTCCTAGGGCATCTATTCCTGTTAAGGCTGAATTGTGTCCCCCCTAAATTCCTATGCTGAAGTCCTAACCTCCACAGCCCCAGAATGTGACCTTACCTGGAAATGGGGTCATTGTGTTGTAGGTAGTGAAGAGGTCATACTGGAGCAGGGATGGCCCCTTATCCAATACGACTGCTGTCCTTAAGAAACGGGGAGGCCGGGCATGGTGGCTTATGCCTGTAATCCCAGCACTTTGGGTGGCCGAGGCGGGTGGATCATCTGAGGTCAGGAGTTTGAGGCCACCCTGGTCAACATGGTGAAACCCCGTCTCTACTAAAAATACAAAAATTAGTCAGGCATAGTGGCATGTGCCTGTAATCCCAGTTACTCTGGAGGCTGAGGTAGGAGAATCTGGGAGGCCTGAATCTGAGAGGCGGAGGTTGCAGTGAGCTGAGATCGCGCCACCGCCCTCCGGTCTGGGCAACACAGTGAAACTTCATCTCAAAAAAAAAAAAAAAAAAAAAAAAAGTGGAGATTCAGACACAGACAAGCACCCAGGGAGACGCCATGTGAACATGAAGGTAAAGATCCAACAAGGTATCCGCAAGTCAAGGAAAGCCAACGATTGCCAGCACAGCAGAAGCTAGAAGCAAGCCTGAAACAGCTCTTCCTTCCCTTGCAGCCCTCAGAAGGAACTAACCTTGCCGAGGCCAAGCCTGGACTTCTGCCCCCAGAACTGTGAGACAATCAGTTTCTGTTGCTTAAGTCAGCCAGTGTGTGGTGCTTCGTTAAGGGAGGCCTAGCAAACTCTTAATTCCCACTCTTGCAAAATGGAAGTAAAGGCCCCTTCTCTCCTCTGTCTCCCAGAGGACCTATTGGGTTAACCCATTCATTCCTTCAAACTCTCCAATAAGAGCTTATTGGGTGGTTGCCAACTGCAAAAAGCTGAGGGCAGAGAAGTCCAGTACAAGGCCTTCCTGTCTTCTAGGTGCCAAGGAAGTGATGGCAAGGATAAGAGGTACAGGGAGTAACTCCTTTTTTTTTTTTTTTTTTTTTTTTTGAGATGGAGTCTTGCTTTGTCACCAGGCTGGAGTGCAGTGGTGGGATCTCGGCTCACTGCAACCTCTGCCTCCTGGGTTCAAGTGATTCCCCTGCCTCAGCCTCCCAAGTAGCTGGGACTACAGGCACGTGCCACCACACCTGGCTAACTGTTTGTATTTTAGTAGAGACGGGGTTTCACCATGTTGGCCAGGATGGTCTTGAACTCCTGACCCAGTGATCCGCCTGCCTCGGCCTCCCAAAGTGCTGGGATTATAGGCGTGAACCACCTCACCCAGCCCAGAGAGCAATTCTTAAGCACATGGACTCTGGAAGTGTCTGGGCTTGAATCCCAGCTCATCTTCACTAGTCGTTTGATTTTTAGCCAATTAATTAACCTCTCTGTGCCTTAATTTTCTCCTCTCTGAGATGAGCAGGAGAGCAACTGTCCCCACTGCTAGGAAGTTTAAATGAGTTAATATTTGTAACAGCATAGGACAGTGGCTGGCACACCATACATACTGTGTGTGGCACAGGCATGAGAAGCGCTCCAACAGCAGCAAGAATTCCTCTGCGGTGGGGGCGAAAGTGTCCCAGATTATAGTCCAGATCAGTGCAAAGAGAGAACCAGAGCGTGTCCACAGGGAAGGCATGGACCTTCCGGGTCCTGACGACATCTCTGACACGAATTTTACCCCTGAAGACAGTAGGGCCCAGGATGGTCATGTGGCTTGCCTAGGGTTACGGCACCGGGAGTCAGACCCCAAACACGGTTTTCCCAGGCCCTAGTCCAGGGCTCATAGTCTAAAAACAAAACTATGAAAATGGAGGCTGAGTGGACAGGAGTGATGCTAGGGGTGGGGAGAGCTCTGAGGCCACTGGTGTCCCTGGTGGCCACTGGCCATGGTAGACAACACCCCCCGGGAAGACCCAACAGGCAGAGGGCAGCCCAGGCCCCATGGGGACCTAGGTTCCTCCCCAGAATCCCAGCAGGCCTCCAGCAAGCCTCATAGCAGCATGCACCACACCGAGGGGTGAATGATGGGCACACATGAGTGCACACGTGTGTGCGGAGGGTGAGACAAGCCTTCACTTTCTCATAGGCTCAGAAAAAGTGGCTGGGCCAGCTGGGCACGGTGACTCATGCCTGTAATCTCGGCACTTTGGGAGGCCGAGGCGGGCGGATCACGAGGTCAGGAGATCGAGAGCATCCTGGTTAACACGGTGAGACCTCATCTCAACTGAAAATACAAAAAATTAGCGGGGCGTGGTGGCACGCACCTGTAGTCTCAGCTACTCCGGAGGCTGAGGCAGGAGAATCGCTTGAACAGAGAGCCGGAAGTTGCAGTGATCAGAGAACATGCCACTGCGCTCCAGCCTGGGTGACACAATGAGACTCCGTCTAAAAAAAAAAAAGGTGCCTGGGCCACACTCAGGGTCCCCCGGGGTTCCAGACACCTCAGGTTCTGGCTCACACTCTCCTGGAGCCCACTTCCGCTGTCACCATCTTACAGGTGGAGAAACTGAGGCCTACGGTGGGGGTGGGGTGTATC